TTCGGTTATTAAACCACAGACCTCGCGGCATTCTTCTGTCCGAGATACGCCACCTATACATGGTCATAATAAGCCCATGAGCGCAGTGTTAACGCCTCATGTGGATATTACTGCACACACCTCCATCCATCCTCTGAGCGTGTACACGTCTCTTGATGCGAGGCGGAGTGATACGCAGCGTGTGGAGGCCTCCGCACAGCCCTTTCGCTCTAGGCCCACCTTGGGTTGCCTCACGGGCAGCGGCGGCGAGGGCTTTGGAGTGGCTCGTCGTCATGACAACCACAACACATCTCGAACAGGCGTGCCCGCTGTCAGAGTGTTTCTCGGCATGGCAGCGCCTGTGTTTGATGGACGGATGGATGCACAGGCTGATCAGCAGAGGGTACACCCTGCAGTTCGCCTCCCCCCCCCCCCACAGTTCAACGGGATACAGGTGACATGCCTAACATCCCGAGAACAGTGTCTTGCGCTCCAAGCAGAGCTACGGGAACTCCTGTTGAAAGAGGTTATTTCCAGGGTTCCCCAGGAGGAAGAAAATCAGGGGTATTACTCCCGCTATTTTCTTATCCCGAAAAAGACAGGGGGAATGAGACCCATCCTCGACCTGTCAGTTTTCAACGAGGCAATAATGAAAATACCTTTTCACATGCTGACGGTCAAAAAGGTGCTAGAGTGTATTCACCAGGGAGATTGGTTCACCTCTATAGACCTGAAGGATGCTTACTTCCATGTGCCCATCATTCCGAAACACAGGAAATTCCTGAGGTTTTCATTCCAGGGAATAGCGTACCAGTACAACCGTCTGCCGTTCGGCTATTCCCTGGCTCCTCGTACTTTTTCAAAGTGTGTAGAGACGGTGCTGCAGCCGCTACACAGAGGAGGAATGAGAGTACTATTTTACCTGGACGACCTGCTGCTGCTGGCTCGTTCCAAGGAGGAGGCGGCTTTACAGACGGTACAACTCATATCGCATCTGTCAAAGCTGGGTTTCATGATCAACTGGGAAAAGAGCTGTCCTGTTCCAGCCCAGAGTATTGTTTACCTGGGGGTGGAATTGAACTCAGCCCGCATGAGAGCACGACTCTCACGGCAGAGAGTGGAAACGCTGACAGCTCTCCTTCAACGTTTCATACCACGCAGCGTGGTGACGTCACTCTCCGTGATGCGGCTGCTCGGCATGATGGCAACAAGTCACGTGGTGATGCCCCTGGGTCTCCTACACATGAGGAGACTGCAGAGGTGGTTCATCAGCCTCCGCATCGACCCCATTCGACAGAAGATGCGCATGGTGGTCATCCCTCTGTCCGTGGGTTCAGACTTAACATACTGGAAAAGTCCCCACGTCCTGTCAGAGGGGGTTCCCCTGGGCAGAGTTACGTCACACATCTCGGTGTTCACAGACGCATCTCTCTCAGGGTGGGGAGGAACGTGCATGTCGCAGGCAGTGGGAGGGCAGTGGCCGGCTCACATGTCTTTCCACATAAATGTGCTGGAATTGATCTCCGTACGGAGAGTAATTCAGCATTTTGCCCCGTTGCTGCGGAATCAGCATGTGTTGATTCGCACAGACAACAAAGCCGCGGCGGCCTACATCAATCGCCAGGGGGGTGTACGCTCAGTGCAGCTCCTGAACACAGCCAGACGGCTGTTGATCTGGGCGCGCGCACACATGCTCTCCATCAGAGCACTGTATGTGCCCGGAGAGCTGAACAAAGGGGCAGACCTCATGTCCAGAGGAGGTCCTCGCCAGGGGGACTGGAGCCTCCATCCTGAACTGATTGCCCAGGTTTGGAGCCAGTTCGGGAAAGCGGAGGTGGATCTGTTCGCCGAACGCGCAATGCGAGCTCTGGTTCTCCCTGTTAGCACGGGACCACCCACCCCTGGGGGTGGACGCGTTTGCACATCGGCCATGGCCCAGGGGACTGCTGTATGCCTTCCCACCAGTCCCGCTGATTCCTCGGTTCCTGGACCGAGTGCAGGAAGAGCGGCTGTCAGTGATCCTGATAGCCCCGGAACGCACGGGAGCTTCCTGGTTTCCATGCCTACAGCGTACGCTGTCAGGCAGGCCGTGGGAGATTCCGTGGCGGGGGGACGCTCTCTCACAGGTGGAGGGAGCGATCTACAGTCACCCAGTGATAGGCCAGCCCTTATGGGCATGGCCCCTGAGCGGCAACACTTATGGCGCGTTTCCACTGCAGCGGGTAGCCCCGTTTAAGCGTCCTTAACCGTCCTCAAGCGGCCAGGCCGGTTTTTGGTGGCGTTTCCATATAGCCTAGTACCGGCCAGCGGGTACTTTTTCCAGCCTCATAAAATCGTGGTTCCCTCAGACCAGGGCCAGGGCTGAACTAGTGACGTCAACACTCTCGACTGCTGATTGGTCAGAGAGAATCGTCACAAGATTGCGCGCGAGTTCATCCCTAGCATCGCATATATATTTAGAAGCAAGCTTGCAGCATTTTATAAACAGCATTTTGTAAACGGATGAGCTACAAAAATGGCTACGTCTAATAAGAAAAGCACACCGTGGTCGACCGAGGAGGTGACGACGTTCCTACATCTCAATTGGGGATGATCAAATCCAGCGGGAGCTCGACGGAACAACTCGAAATGTGAACAAAAACAAAGCCGATCGCCCCGCCTACACTGCGTTGCTACCCCAGGTCCTAAACTGTAATGGAAATGCGCCACGGCCTGGGCCGGCCAGCGAGGCAGCCCGAGGCCAGAGCGAGGATGCTTAGGGACGCTTAAACGGGGCTACCCCGCTGCAGTGGAAACGCGCCATTAGAGAGCTGGGGTCTCTCTCAAGATGTTGTACGCACCATTCAGGGAGCCAGGGCCGCGTCTACCAGAGCGTCCTACACAGCCAAGTGGGCAGCGTTCCAGCGTTGGTGTGTAGGGAGAAGCCTGGACCCCATTACGTGCCCCCTGCCTCACGTGCTGTCATTCCTCCAGCTGTTGTTGGACAGGAATTTGGCGTTCAGCACAATCAAGGTGTATGCGGCTGCCATATCATCTTGTCATGTGGGTTTCGGAACAGGGACGTTGTTCAGTCACCCCCTGACGAAACGGTTTCTGCAAGGGGTACGAAGATTCCCTTTCCTCTATGACGCACCCTGTACTGGGTGTCCTGTCAGACTGAGTGACATCAGGGAGCCAGCTGAGCGCCTCTCTCCTGCCTCTCGGCACACAGAGAGCGGCCTTTTTCCCCTCGTAGGAGAGGGATGTTCCCCTTCCTCTAATACACTTCGTACGAAGTGTGTGATTAGAGGGAGTAACGTCAGGGATCCAGCTGAGCGCTCTCCTACCTGGCTGGCACGGAGAGAGCGGCTGTTTCCCCTCTAAATATCGCAGGATAAGGTGGGACCTTCGTCTCTACTTCTCACAGCGGTCGGTATGTATTGTTCCCAGCCTTCACCCCGTCAGGAAAACAGGTATGTTTGCTATGTTCCAGGGACGGGGAGGTGCCATTACGCATGGCACAACAGGCAGGGGGGTGTTATTGAGCAGGTGTGTCTGTGCTTCTAGTGCTGGACGGACCCAGTGGGGCGCAGACTACATCATGCTTCGCCCTTAACCCAATAGCGATAGCCTTAGAGAGCGAAGCCATATGCGAAATAGAACTGAGGTTACCTAACTGTAACCCAGCTTCTATGAGTATTGGCTCAGCCCTCTAAGCGCCGGGCCCCACTGGCTCTACGAATAGCTGAAGAAAAGTTATATTGTATGGGAGCAGATCACCGGGCAACCTCCCTATTTATACCGGAAGGTGGCCCGAGGGTGGGGCCCACCTAGCGGGTGGGCGTGGACTACAAGTGTTTCAGTACTGCGCGGGGGCGCAGAAGGGTAAACCCAATAGCGATAGCCTTAGAGGGCTGCGCCAATACTCATAGAAGCTGGGTTACAGTTAGGTAACCTCAGTTATTCCAGGAGGTCAGCCCAGTCTGATCAAAACTTAAAACCAGCCGAGCGTTATGCATTTTGCCACTGGGTTTCAATCAGAAGCCCAGAAAATACTTATGTTGCCTCATGTTAACATACTACAAGGCTCAGATAAAGGTCTGCTACAGAAAGAGATTCAAGCCATGAAATGCTTCATCTCAATATATTTAAAGTACGCACCAAACACCAAGGCAAATTCCTAGTAAGTGAATAACCTACTTGGCAACCTTATTCTGATTCTGATCATAGAAGTACACCACTTTACCAAAATGTGCGTGTGAATGCATGTGTGTGCGTGTGGCACCTTCAATGTTCTAAATGTCACCATAGCTCAATTTCAATAGACTGGTAAGCTATCGATTGGCAGTAATTTATGGTTTGATGTGCCAAGATGAGCCGCCTAAGACAAGCTGTCCACTTCCCTTTTAAGAGCTCTATTAGAACTCACACTAAGACGGTCCGCATGTGTGTCACTGAAAGCTAATTTACTCCTACCACAGACCATTTAGACCATTACTGAAACACACTCACACATACACACAGAAGCACAACGACGGAATGACACTTAATGCACGCACATCTTTCCCATCTCTACACCAGTCCATCACCTGCTATGTTTCTCTCTCCCTTCATATATATATCTCCTCTCTTCATATCCGCCAGTCTCCGGTTGATTTATTTATGATATGTATGTTGAAGCTACAGCTCAAGTGGCGCCCAGTATGTTTCAGAGGGACATTTAATTTAACATCTAAAGTGAAAGAAGGAAATTAAATTGACCCTCCGGTAAATGAAAATTGGACTGTGCAGTCTAGACATGCAGTAGGTGTGAGATAAATGAGCGAAAGACATTTTTCTAATGAAAGAAAAATAATATCAAGATCAAACGATCATTTGTTATCAATGATGAAATCCACAACATGAAAATGCCTTAGAGTAGTTTAAGAGTTGTGGATTGTGTTTCTACAGTATGTGCTCACATTTAAGATGGATATTTAACAAAGAAAACCCTTTTGTTAAAGTTATCACTTACATTTCTTAACTGCCTTGTGTCTCCTCAGCTCCAACAGGACTGTCTCCACCCCACTTACATCCAGTCAATGATACCACCATTCAGATAGACTGGGACCCCCCATCCCAACTCAATGGACCACACCCACTGTATCAGGTCTGTAAGATAATTTTCTCGAATACAGTATAGGCTTCTTGACATTGTGTTTTTTAGTACTTTTGAATTGAAATATGGACCTGCACTTGGATGATTTAGTATACATTGTAATTCATGTAGTAAGCTGATGTGGAACAAAATAAAACAAAATAACAAGTTCATGATTACTATTATATAATCCTTAAGTAAGGATTTGAGTATTGTTGCTGTATATTAATATTATTGTATACCATTTATTTGTTTACAGGTGGAGAGGATAGATGTCTCTCTCTCTGACCCACGGGGTCCTGTTGTCAGAGGTACCAGATTCTCTGGAAACAGTTTCTACCAGTTTCCCAGTGACACCCTTCCTGCCAACACTGACTTCACAGGTAAGAGAGTATATCTGGGTACATGCAAATCAATGTGTGTATAAAAAAATGGACGACGTGTCTGTCTGCATGGATTTATACTTTATGTGAGTAAAGTAATGTGAGTGTGTTCACATGCTTACAAACCCAGACCTGTTTGCTGGTATGTTTTTGTGTTCGGTGATCATACCGCAATCTCTCAGTCTTCTAGTGATGCTTCTTGAGAATGACTTCCCCAGTCATCTTAAAGGACAATTATCTTTCTGTTTACCAGCATCATTAGAGGGTTGAGCTGCACAGCCAAACATGTTCTGCTTCATCTCAGAACATCACCCAGTCTGACGCTCATAATTAATGACTGCTGATACTAATCAGTGGGATTTGAGTGGGCAAAGCTTTTTGACGCCACTTGAGATTTCTTCACTGTCCTGCAGAAACCTTTTAACACCAGTTTTATCTTTCTTTATCTACAGTATATATTTAAATTGAATTCTCAGATAAAACCTTTCCAAGCCATGGTAAAACTTGAATTTATTTGTGGACAAGCCATATTTCTGAATCGGGTAACAAATTCCCAAGATAAAACTTTCATCTATCCTTATGTGAAAGTGAGTCAACAAAGCCCTCACATTGTTTTGTCACATCATTTTGTTTCTAACTAAAATACTCAAATATGTTTGCCACTGGCAAAGTTGGGAACTGTTGATTTCACATTTGAAATATTAGAAGTTTTCAGCCATAACAGATTGTCAGTGTCTTAATAATAAAGAGAGCCATAGGATCTCTGAGTGGGATATTTGAGCGGTCTTTGAGCTTCCCTGCACACAGATAGCTTGTCTTTTTTTTACTGCATCATAGTGGTAAGTAGAAAATTCTCTTTTTCTAAAGGGCTTTTGAAGGTCGCACAGAAATTGAGAAATAATTAAATGAGTGTGTTTGAATTGGTAGCTACCCTAAGAGATAGAACATGTAATCTATTAAAATGTTGCTTTATATTAAAGGTCCCATGACATGGCCATTTCTACTGATCATAATTCCATTGTTGAGGTATAGATTTACATTGTGCAATTTTCCAAACTCACATTGGTTTCTTCATACAGCATCTCTGTATAGTATGTGTATTCACTCAATTTCACTCTCTGTCCTAAACGCCTTATTGGAGCTCTGCCCCCCCTCCCTGTGAGCCCAGTTTCCTGCTTGCTGCGAGACGGCGAGACATTGCGAATGGACGCAGGAAGGGGGGTGCTGAGGGGGCTGCAGCAGCCCCATCTGCGAGGCTCCACTAGCACCCGCATCCCCCCGCACCCCCAAACGCGGCGCACCTACAGTATAAGCGCGCCATAGTTTCGCCGCACTGCGAGGCTCCACTAGCACCCCCCCAGCGCGTCACATTTTTGCCGCTAAAAGAGTGTGTGTATGTGTGTGTGAGGAGCTCCACGGATTGGTCCATTTGGTCCATTTGGGTATGGGCACGTCACAATACCCAGGAAGAAAACAGACAGGGGCAGCACAGACAGGTATTTTCTGTGTTAGAGTTTTACTCGCTACAAGGTGTACTTTGAGGATTTGTGACTCTGCAGACCGTTTACATGCATAAAAAGCTACATAACACACAAGGGGACGGGTAATAACCAGAAAAGCATGACATGGGACCTTTAAGATGACAAGCTATTTATAGCATAGAATTCCAAAATGACTTTACCTTTTTAATGTATGTTTTATTCTATTAACTGTTGTCCTAATGAAATGTGGTTATAAGTTAAGAAATCCCACCAGCTTTACTTCCATTCTTCATCTTTGTTCATGGCTCCCAGTTCCTGTTCATTGCTCTTTTTCTGACCGCTGTGTTTTTATCAAAAATCAACCAAATATGATTATTTTATTTCATCCATGCCCCTTTAGCGTAAAGTTAAATAAACATATCTGAAAACTGCCAGTAAATAGATGATTTTGCCCGTGAGGGGTGCCTCTCGTCTCCTCCGCTCTCCTCCTTCATAAAGGGTAATGGATCAGACAATCACTTTCAGACCGGATCTATTCTGGACCATGAATGTGTCGGCAGTCCTCAAACCATCGCCCTTTTACAACCATCAATACTAATAGCATCATCTACAGACAATTATTCCCATCGAAGCGCATGGAACAGCGAACAAATCAAAGCCAAATTGGATTATGAATGTAATGCAGTGTAATGCCCCCTCGAGAGTCAATTGATCACAGAGGAGAGACTCGTCAATCGTTGATGTCTTATGGAAACCCAGTAACTCCGACAATGACAACTGGAGAAATTCTATACAAGTCAAATCTTTGGATAGTATTTTCTGTTCAGTTTTGCGAAAACCTTTCTTTACTGATGAGTTTGTTTGTTTTTCATTCTCAGTTGTAATGCATCGAAAAATCACAAAGGGCTTTCCATAAGAAACAGTAGATCATAATGTTTCTATCAATATTCTTTAATATTTGTTCCATCAATGTTCTTTCATAATTTTCCTATTAATATTCCGCTCCATTCTTGGAATATAAGTAGTTTGTTGTTTCCAAATGTACAGGATGTTACTACAGTCTTTATCGTACAGATGTGTATTAAGGGTACATTTTTGAGAATGTACTGTAGGCAATATTCTTTGTGTTAAATCTTATTTAGAATCAAAATTGATTACCATGTAAAATCACATGATATTTACCCTTTCACCTGTTATTTATAGCCACTTTACTTAAATAGTTTTGGCCAAATAGGTTGCTTTCCATATGCAGTTATTGTGATAGAAGTGGATGTTTCCATAATGATTCCATAATAATGTCTGCTCACTTGTGATAAACGATGCTTCCTAATGCTGAATCAATTTAGGGTACTTGGGGTCAATATTTACCACACTGAATCTTACTTTAGATAAAAACAGGATTATAATAATATGCGATCATGCTATGATATGAATACCCTGTAAGTGCTTGTTTCCATAAATGCATGTTAGTCCATTCATCTTATCTGTAATGCGTCAGTCTCAAAGCGCTACAATGTGACTTCCTGCTCTCCTTGTTCATCTTTGAATTAAGGATACGGTTCTAAACAGATTATAAAATCCTATCTCCTCATTTATAATTCTTCAGTGCTTGAGCCTGAAATGGGCTGATTGCAAAGAGGATGATGGCCTGCTCATATTTTCACTAATCCAGATGTATTTCTACAACCCAAAGTAAATGAAGACTGATGAAACATCACAAACATAGTTTAGAAAAAAAAGAAAATAAATGAATGCAGGAACAAATAGACTAGGATAATTTCCAGACATGTCTAATACAGTACATTGCTGCTGCACCACTGCAGCAACTGAGCAGGAAAGAGGGAAATGTTAAATGATACAAATTATTTTTCCTTAATTAATATGATTGATTGCCAGGCGTTGACGTTGAAAGGAGAGGGGGAGAAATGTGTGAAGGGAAAGTTTGCACAGACATCATTAGTTTTTCCCCATTTAAAGATTAATCAGAAGAGGCTGGGCTCTTTAATTCTGTCATTTGTATATTTAATGGGCTGCTGCAGAATCTATGGGTGTAATTAGCTTGCTGCCGCGCTCTCATTAATACGCCAGGCTCTGATTAATGCCAGCGCAGAGCTAACATGACTGGAGTTATTCAGGTTATGTTGTGTAGATGATTGCACACAACCTCCACTGTTTACCGAGACAGAGAGAGGAGAAACAATACCATAACACAAGAAACAATACTACCTTATAAATAACACTATACTTAAAACTGTAAATGGATGATTATTGCCACTTGTTAGTTTTACATATGAAAGTAATTCTCTTTATATCACACAGAGGGGAACAGAACCTTCATTATGAACAATAAACTGACAATAAAATGATTTTTAATTTACAAAAGACTCAATTCAAACAATATAATTCTCTCACTTAACAACTCCAGAGTTGATGGTGTGAGAATAATTGGTTTTATGTACTTGTAGGACATAAAATGTTCTTTACAGTACATTGAGTAATATATTGCTCATGAAATAAACTTCCTGTGAAACAACAGGTAATGTTTATGGAGAAAGGTCTCTGAAAACATCTCTCCTTCATACTCTTCATGTTCTGGTCAGATGTGAAGTAGAGCTGATTTGATATTCTACATTACATTCTGTAGATCACATAGAGCCTTGTCCAGTAAACTAATCCCAAGTGAATTTAATAAAATAAAAATACATTTAAATAATATGTTTCTGCAAGTGTATTCGTGAGGCCTTAGGTCTGGGCTGTTGTTTGGTCAGTTGATCTCAACACTTTGCCAATGAGCATGATATATTCTCATCTTGGCCAAATTGTGTTCCCATTTGCATAACAAATATTTCAGAATGTAATGAGACATATATACTCTCCAGAGGATGGTCCCATTATCAATTGTTGATTGTTTACCAAACCCCCCCAAGAGACAACAAAAGTGGTCGAATTCACTACTTTGGGCATGACCATTAGGTGACATTTTGCTAGAACTAATTATATAGTACATCCGATTTAAATATAATAAAATGATTTAGTTGTCCGTCGCATTCACACGTGTTGTACTGTACGTGTGAGGAGTGAAGGCCTGCTGTGTAAACATGTACTGTTATATTTAGCAGCATTTGTGTTTCTGGCGTTGTTGTGCACTCTCAGGTGAACAAGTGCATGCTGCTGTTTTGTGTCTGTGTGTTGAACTGTGCATGTGCTTGTGTGCTTGCATGTACTCTGTATATGTAACAGAGACACCTGTCAGGATGTGTGCTCAGGTTTGTCTGGTGATGGCTCCAAAGTGGTTGTCAGTGTGAAGTAGCACAAGTCCTGTGGGGAAACCTGAAGGAAGTAATGCTGAGCACGAGCAGTGTCACTTAGATGCCGTGCATTTGGACCAAACACCATGGCCAGGCATATGTTGACAGTGTTTCTTACCTTATTGCACATCTCACAAAAACAGGCTCTGCGTTATAGGCAAACAGCAGTTGATTAATGTGACCTTGCATGCATCTCTTGACCTTTTATTATAATAAAACATATAATGATATGCTCGATTATTTGTAAAGCAAAGATCAATACAGGAAGTACTTGCGATCTGCTATTGCAAATAGGGTCAAAGGAACTTTTCAACAATATTTTACACCATTACTGCTTTTTGGCAACTGCAAGACTTGGATTGGATATCTTGAATAATTATTTTTAAACATCACATGACATGAGGAAACGTGAGTTCCGGGTCCATGTTAAGATAGTGAAAAAATAACATCATCCGGTAAAGTTCAGGATGTTGCACCATGGGGGTGTAGAAAAATATAAATTCGCCCAAAATATATTTACCTTTTTTTATATCCCTACATATAATGATATACTCCTATATACCTCAAGAGTACTGCATGCACTTTCATTTTTGTTATGTTTTACTGATATAGCTCATTTTAATTCCTGTTAATTGATATTGGATATTAAAAGTAGTACAATGATGTTTGGCCTTACAGGGATGGACTGTGATAAATGTGAATGCAGATTTAACTGTTGACAATATGTTTAATCAAAACCACTGTCATAATAGGTATCTTTATATAAAGTTATATCAGAATGCATCACAGTTGTTTTGCATTGTATACATGTGTATGAACCTCTGTGCTGATGAAGCAGTATGCTGTTTCTCTCTTGTCAGATACTTTTGAGTGTGCGCCGTAGTCCAAAGGGCCTTTTTCCTTGTGTACAGAATTGGTTGTGAGTGTGTTTGTGTGTGTGATAGAATCTGTACCTCCCTATGTTTACGTCACAATAAAAAGCTCACTTTGATGTCATCTGCTGTCTTTTTAACAATGGATAACTGTTTACAACACTGTTAAGACTAAAAAATAGTAAAGTAGGATACATGAGAAGGAGCACAGTTAGGAATGAAGGAGGTCAAAAGAAAATTGAAGATGCAAGGAGAGAAAAACATATTCAGATGAAGCATTAGGTGGGGAAAGATGGAATGGAAAGGTCAAGAAAAAAAGGGAGGAAGGTTAAAAGCGTAGGGAAGGAAGAAAAGAAGGAATGAGAGATCAGGAGAGTGGGACACAGAGAAGGTTAAAGGGGGGTAATGTAATGTCAGGTATCTGTCATGACTTCACTCATCTCTGTGGTGACAAGGTCATGAATGTAAATGACGGATGCCTGCTTGATGCACAGAATGCAAGTTCAATGTAAACAACTTCTTGGTCTTGTCTTAGCCACATACTACCACCACAATTATTGCACATGTATTTCCATGTAGACTTGTTTAGAATTCATTAACTGAGGTAAAGATATGTATTTGTGCACTTTTGGTAATCAATGCATAGTGTACTGCCCAAATGGGACCATTATAAGAAGCCACTTTTACATTCCTTTTAGATCCAAGGGGCTTTTCAGCCTTGGATTCTGCAAGGAAAATGCAATGATTCTTTCCTGTCATTCTGTCACATGTATAGTATGCCCAGTTTATCTTCTAAATCACTTATATCCTGCCCTGAAATGGAAATGGCAAACCTGTGATACCTTGTGAGCCACATACATACATACATAAGATGATTATGGCAAAACTAAAAGAGTTTTTCTCAAGCCACATCCTGACTGGATTTTTTTGTTTTTCAAAGGGTACATGCGCTTATCTATGACATTAATCCTGTTTGTAGCATGTGTGCCGGTAATTATTTGTTCTAGTCCAAAATAAATCAGACACATGTAATTGCTACTAGGACTGGGACACTGCTTATTTCTGTAACCATGTTTTGCTTTATATCGGCTTTATATCAGCCATGTTTGGCTTTATAACAACTAGCGTAACACCATTCCATTAACATGTAACAATAGGACAACATGGACCAGATATTTTTCATTCAAAATAGTGTGCAAGCTGCGAGCTACATGGATAATTTGTATTCATCTTGAGTTTACCGTGTAACTGTTTGACTTCTCTTTATGTTAAGTGAATTCACACACTAATTATTTTTGCAAACACCGGCTTCTGATGAACCCTGGACTGCCTCCATTCAACTCCTCAGATCTTCCCACACTTCTGTTCTCTTCAGAGACAGACAGAGATGAGGAAACGCAAACGTAAAATTGCATGCTCTGTGTCGCTATGTGGATCTAGAAGTGGATTAAGATCCAATCTCTGATCCATAGCAACATGACAAGACAGCACGTTAGAAGAATTCTGTGTGTGTGTGTGTGTGTGTGTGTGTGTGTGTGTGTGTGTGTGTGTGTGTGTGTGTGTGTGTGTGTGTGTGTGTGTGTGTGTGTGTGTGTGTGTGTGTGTGTGTGTGTGTGTGTGTGTGTGTGTGTGTGTGTGTGTGTGTGTGTGTGTGTGTGTGTGTGTGTGTGTGTGTGTGTGTGTGTGTGTGTGTGTGTGTGTGTGTGTGTGTGTGTGTGTGTGTGTGTGTGTGTGTGTGTGTGTGTGTGTGTGTGTGTGTGTGTGAAACCTACACATTTCCCACATTGCTGAAGCTTTGATTTCACAGTATGCTTTAAAACAAAAGAGGCAGGACAGCTGTATTGGAATACAATGTTACTCCTTTATTTGGTCAGTTAGCCAGCGTAGTATATTCCTTAAATCTTTGTAACTTACATGTGTTGTCTTTCCAGTTGGTTGCTATATTTTTCTATACAATCTTTATAGCATTTTGAAATAGAACACATTGGGCTGTATCTGCAAATTGTAAAATGATGTCATGTTTACCTTCACCTTTGGATTCAAGGTTTACATGGCTTAACATTTGAGGACAGAAAAAGGCCCGAGATGCAGATCTCACACATCTCGCCTCATTTAAGGTTGGACAGTAAACATTGTGTAATGATATTGCAATGGTCCAGTTTAACATATATCCAGGTGAATTAACACACTTATAACTAACCCCCAAGTGGTTCAGGTGGAGTTAAAAGGTTGAAGTGCTGTTGCATTTTTTATTATATTGGATATGCATGATAACATTTTGTTAAATTATATCCTATGGGGAAATTAAAGAATGAAATATATCTCTTTCTCTTTTCTCTATCTCGTTTTGTATCAGGTGTTGAGTTGAGTTTCAAGACTCAGTCTCCAGACGGCCTGCTGCTCTGTGCCTTCTCTCCAGGAAGTCAGGAAGAGTTCCTCGCTATTCACCTCAAACATGGACGTCCCTACTTTTTGTTTGATCCACAGGTATGTAACATTTATTTACAACTGGAAAATTGTGAGCACAACGAAACTGACTGACAGGTGTCAAGAACAAGCATTGCTCTTATTTGTTGGTTTTATTATTATTATTACATATTATTATTAATTATATTTTTTTGTTTGAGTGTTCCTTATTTTTACTTTTTGTTGAGGGGCCTCCACATAATCTCCATCCAGCTTGACTATAATTAAAACCCACACACCTGAGTGTACTTTCATTTACAGTGCCATATTTGAGAAAAGGACATGATAAACTATTATTTATTTGTAGATATACTGCTATTGTTAGTAAACAATTTACCATATTGGTTTTACCTATCTATGCATCTTTTTTCATCCACCATTTTTATATATCCCTTTTATTATTGGATTCTACTAATTTTACTTACTTACTCACCTTCTCTTGTATTTTTTTATTTTTTTATTCTGATCCACCTCTGTCTTTCTGTCTTCCTCTCTTCCCCCCCTTTCTCTCTCGCTGTCTCTCTCCCATTTTCTCTCACTTGCTCTCATCTAATAAATGTGATCTGTAGCCCCTCATTGGTTTCTGTCAGGGAGAGGGGAAAAAACTTTGAAAGTGTGTCAACGTTTGAATTGGACTGCAATTAACTCATTCCCTGCAGTCACCACGCGTGAATACCAATTGCAAGCTAATTAAGCTTTGCACCCTTACACACACACACACACACACACACACACACACACACACACACACACACACACACACACACACACACACACACACACACACACACACACACACACACACACACACACTCAGCCCTGCTTCCCTTATCCATCGATACAGACACATGTAGAGGGGTTAAAGAGTCAACGACTTAGATGATGAAAGTGATGATGGGAGATGATTACACATACTTCCATGAGGCCACCAACTAATTACACACTCAAACAAACACACACAAACACACTTTCCTTCCTCATCACTATCCAATTCTCATTATCAAAGAGCCCTCATCAAAATGTTACCATGGGAGGTATCTGTGTGTGAGAGGAGTTTACGTCACCGAAAATATTCTTGTTGACTTGCAGTGCTAATGTGTGTGTCTCTGGTTACGTGTACTGCTACGTGGGCGATGGAGCGTATGTGTCTTCTCCAACTGGGTTGATTCCTTTGTTTAGACTAGTTTGGGGTAATTAACAGTGGGAGTGGTGTCACGGCTTATTAGTGTTCCCCTAGATACATATAGCTGGGCCCATTACTTCCCCCTATTAGCCTGTTGAGCTAGCCTTAATGGGATTACTAGTGCAGGGGGGGTAATTTAGCATGACACAGGAAAGTGATATGCTTATAAATATGTGCACATGTGAGCTGCCACACACGCACACACACACACACACACACACACACACACACACACACACACACACACACACACACACACACACACACACACACACACACACACACACACACACACACACACACACACACACACACACAAATTGACACTCAAAGACATTTGCTGTCACTCATTGAAGAGATAGACCACAGAATTTAAGTCATCTTAGTGTCACAAACTATTTCACATTGTGGGAACACAGACGCACACACAAACGGTTCACACTCTATTGATGCAGGTGAGTGGTGTTTAATAGACCAGTGGCTCTTGGTTGTCAGTAGTAACTGGTAACTACACCGTCTGTCACATGCTGTGATACTAGATTACACATGTAGATCTCATCAGGTTCACTCGTTAGCTGTCACTGTCTGTTAAATACATTTGCTGGCAAAAAGACAAGTGTCAAAAACCCATAATGTAATCTGACAGTGCTCTTGCCTTTCGAGGAGAAGACATTGTAATCTTCAACAACAGATAACATGTAAACTGACATTTATGAAAATGAACCAGATCTTAGCCCCTCAATAGCACTCCTAAACGTTGCATTTACTGTCGTTTGCACAGCTGCCTGCTGTTATATATTAATTATTCCGTTTAGAAGTCTAGGCTAATAGTCTAGACTTACACTCATCTCTGTCCAATATTGTGTGTAGACTGCTGTCTTTATATATTAATTGTTGTGCCAACTTTTTATTTCTATACTTTATACTTCTTAAAGGTGGGGTAGGTAAGTTTGAGAAACCGGTTCGAGATACACTTTTTGTTATATTCCATGGAATGCTCTTAACATCCCGATAGCAATGAATATCTTAAGTGCTTTGACAAAAAATCCATAACAAAATATCATCTGTGGAAGCCGTGGCTACTGTAAAAAGCAGCGACCAATCATCTGAAGCCGGCCCGGCTAAAAGTAACTGGATGGCCTACCTGCCTGTCAGCCTTCCATCTGTGCACAAACTTATCTCGTGCCCTCATTGGTCATGTGCGCGTTCGTGTGTGTTGGAGGAGGGGCTCTGTAAGGAAATGGCAGATTTTTTCCGGCTGTGTATTTTCAAATTCTAGCGCACTCGAGCTGGTTTCTCCAAAATTACCTACCCCTACCTTTAATCTGTGTATATGTATATATGTTTATATTAGTCTGTATGAGTATGCATGCGTATGTATATATATATATATATATGATTGGTGAATACTTTGACACCCTTTTGGAGGCTATACCTCTATTGGTCAATTATTATAGGGATTTCTATTTGACCCATTCCAACTTTTTAAAAGACACTTTCAATCTACTGTTCCCTATACAAAAATGTACCTTAACGTTATTCAATTTATTGCATATGTCACAACCTAAACGTGAAAAGACTGCCAGTCACTTGCCAGATTCTGGAGGAGTTTTTGCTAAGGTTAAGGCTTTGCCAGGATTGACCACATTGGCACCTTAAGCGTGGCATTATAGATCAGATTCACACCCATATATGCTCGCATTCTGTTGCGGAATGCCAAGTGTGGCTGGAATATCCGCAGGGGCAGCACTTTGGATAAGTGCTTTTTATTTGGTTTGTGTGAGAGTGTGTGTGCCCATCAGTTTCCATTATCAAGGACTGTATATTAAAGAGAGTGGGCATTGGGGCCTTGTCAAAACAGCGGACACACATCCTAGCTTAGTGCTGTGCAACTCCAGTGAAGGCTAAGGACCTGAAACCACGTCATGAGTGACCTGGCTTTAGCGGAAGATCTATGTTTCCAGGCAAATTAAGTGACTTACCTGTGTTTGTTAAATAGTGTGTCTGTGTCTGCTTGAATTGGTTTGTGTTTGTTAGTTTTTTGTCCAGTTATTATGTTTTTACTCAATGGCACTTTGGTGGTAGATTTCCGAGAGTTGAATGTTAGTTGCTTCCATTTCCAGAGTCTCTCAGACAATGGATTCAGATGTGTGTGTTTGTGTGAATGTGTAACACAGAAAGAAAGAGAGAGCAATAGAGAGACTCCTCCCATGTTGTCTTGTTAAGTAGAGCTGTCTAGCAATGGTTGTAAAGATGTCAAAGGCTGATATACTCTGGCATTCATACATTTATTGATCTCATCATTAAATCTTCATCACTGTGTGTGTATCTGTGTGTGGATATATGTTGTTTGTGTGAGTGTGTGTGTATATCCGTTACTCTTGTGTCTTTGCCATACTTGCTAAAAGCTGATCACAACAATGATGTCATACTTAAGGTAGCAAAAAGTCCTGTAACAACACTTTGATGATTATATGTGCATGTTGGTGTCCTTTTGAGGGTGGTGTTTGATGTGTGTCATCGATCCTTAATGTCTAACCTTGTTCGTGTTGTAGGAGCAAACACAATATCTGTGGCTTAAAGCCCACCTGTGCTCCGCTCCGTCCGTTAGATGAGCCTGGTCAGATTGATAAAAGAGGGAGTTCAAACACCGGCATAAAAGTTATAACAATAATCTGATTTTAATACAGTAAAAAACACAATACGAAATACAGAGTGCCCTGAAACAGAGCACTCCGGGCTCCCCGCTCTACTGCCGTGCGATACAGATATCGGGACCAGCCAGTCAGAAACAGGGGGCATTTTGCATGAAGAAACAACAGTATATATGGACATATTTGGAGGTGGAGATGTGTCGGCTCTTCCGTCCCATTTTACTCCTAAGCGAATTAGAGTTCTGGGAAAAAGTATCTTTCTTCTGAACAGAGCGTGACAGCATCGGAACTATACAAGGTCAGAATCACTTTGTATCTTATACCTGGGATAACTCCTTTAATTTCCCAGGGAAGATTTCACACAAACTGAACTATACCAAGTCAATCACTTTTGATCTTATACCTGGGTT